GCATCTCTACAAGAACTTTGGTGTGCGTTTTCTGTTTCAATTAAGAACTTGCACACACATACACACAAGTATATGATAATTAAATAGTATTATTGAGTCTAGAGTCTTTAAATGTTCCAATATTACACATTTAATAGACAAAAAAGTCTAAGATGAACATTGTGGAGTCATTTTCCTGTCACATTTAGTCCATTTTGATTATAATCACTGTGTCAAATGTGATCAGAAAACATCATCAGATTATTATTTATCTTCAGAATCAGATCAAAAATGACTTCTGCATCTTAAACCGAACCTTTGCTCTTAGTGAAAATACTCCACAAATGTCAAATCTGAGCTGAAAATTGTATAGAAATCCCAGAGAATTCTACATAAAATCTAATTCTATTTCAGCATTGACTGAGGAGGTAAGTAATTTATGTCAAACAGGATCTACTGTAACAATGTGATGGGAAAATCTCCTCTAAATGGTCATTTTAGACCTTTTTTTGCCTATAAAACGTTGAATATTTGAAAACCTAAAGACTCTAAACTCAATAAAACTATTTAATTATCATATACTCATCCAGTAACCACTGTTGGGCAAGTTACTTCAAAACTCTAATGTGTTATTTATGACTTGATACTGTTATTTAAAAGTAATTTATTACATTACAATATTACTGCATTTACCTAGAACTGAACCAGGACTAAACCAGGACTAAACCAGGACTAAACTAGAACTGAACCAAGTCTAAACCAGAACTACATCAGGATTAAACCAGGTCTAAACCAGGACTAAACCAGGACTAAACCAGATCTAAAACAGGACTACACCAGGACTAATCCAGAACTAAACCAGGACTAAACCAGGTCTAGACCAGGTCTAAACCAGGACTAAACTAGGACTAAACTAGGACTACATAAGGACTAAACCAGGTCTAAACCAGGACTAAACCAGGACTAAACCAGGACTAAACCAGATCTAAAACAGGACTACACCAGGACTAATCCAGAACTAAACCAGGACTAAACCAGGTCTAGACCAGGTCTAAACCAGGACTAAACCAGGACTGAACCAAGACTAAACCAGGACTAAACCAGGTCTAAACCAGGACTAAACCAGGACTAAACCAGATCTAAACCAGTACTAAACCAGGACTAAACCAAGACTAAACCAGGACTAAACCAGGACTAAACCAGATCTAAAACAGGACTACACCAGGACTAATCCAGAACTAAACCAGGACTAAACCAGGTCTAGACCAGGTCTAAACCAGGACTAAACCAGGACTGAACCAAGACTAAACCAGGACTAAACAAGGTCTAAACCAGGACTAAACCAGGACTAAACCAGGACTAAACCAGATCTAAACCAGTACTACACCAGGACTAAACCAGGACTAAACCAAGACTAAACCAGGACTAAACCAGATCTAAACCAGGACTAAACCAGGACTAAACCAGGTCTAAACCAGGACTAAACCAGGACTAAACCAGGACTAAACCAGGACTAAACCAGGTCTAAACCAGGTCTAAACCAGGACTAAACTAGGACTAAACTAGGACTACATAAGGACTAAACCAGGTCTAAAACAGTATTATAAAATATATTTTTCCCCCTTTAATGCTGAAATGTAAAAAGCAACACATTACATATTAATTCTTTACTTTTATAACATGTCCGTCCCAACACTGCCTGTACCAAAGTGTGTGTGTTTGTGTTTTCATCATCTGAACTCAGACTCAGGCGTTTCCCAGAACACATCAGTTCAAATGACAGTGTTTTTTTTTTTTTTTTTTTTTTGGTCAATAAAAAACATATTTGCCCTGAGTCTAGTTCGTTGTATTTGGACATAAAAAATGAGGAAGCTCAGCGCTCACCTTCTGTTCTTATCAAGACTTTTATAGGAGTTTTGAAGAGTTGTTCACAGTATTATTACCCACTGTACTTCAGACTACAGAGTTCAACCAGAGGAAATGAAAATACACAGAAAGAGTGCAAATTTAACAAAGTATTATAAGTCTATGTCTCAATAAATAACAAGTAATTAAACCGTAACTTACACTGATGCTTCTATAAACTCATGTTACACTGACCCTTAAAAAAGACTTGACGTGGTATAAAAAGTGTAAAATACTGTTAAAATTATACAATACACTTCAAAGTCTGTGCCTAAAAAAACGTATTATTTATTATTTATTATAAAAAATTCAAATTCCACTCAGATAATATTTGGTATATACATATTCATCGTGACAATTAAAATCCATAGCAAATCTATTAAGGTTAAGTTGAATTTTTATCCTGAAATCCTGAAACTTTTTCCAGGAAAGGCACCATAAACATTCTAATTTATTGGTTTTATTTATTTATTGCTATTATTGCTTTTATTTTATTGTTTTAGGACCAGTATGATTAAATCTGAGCGTTTATTTTATCATTATTATATTATTATTGTTGTTATTATTATGTATTTGTGCAGCACTTTAGAAACAGTTTGTTTGTGAAATGTGTTATATAAATAAAGTAGGACTGGATTGGAAATGGCTGAGAATTTTACACTTCAGTTTGTCGTAGCAGGTGATCTGTTGGAGACACAGAGCTCATCTTGGCCTTAAAGGTTGTATGGAGGATTTTTTTTTAGTTTCAAACTGTCAGTGAAAGATTAAAATACCATTACAGAGACGCAGCAGCTTTGTAATTATGACGACCAAAAAAAAAAAAGAACGAAAATCTATCAACTGTGGACGTGTTGAGGCCAGATAAACATCAGCCAATAGAAAACGAGGCTCCCTCATTTTCTATTGGCTGTTAGGTTGTCAATCAAACTCCCTAGTATAACTGACTCGTCGGAGCGCGGGGATTACGTGGTTTACGCGGCGGTTCTTAGAGGCATTTTCGAACTGTCGCTTCCTCGCATTTCGCACAAAGTTTGTCGCGACGGCGGACGAGAATCCACGACCGGTTCGCCGCAAAAGAAAGTCCGTTTTTGAGGTCGGTGAAAGAAGAAGAGAAGAGGAAAAGGAGCAAAGCCAAACTGAGGTGATTCTCGGAGATCTCGTCCAGCGATGGCGCGACCGAAGCAGACGAAGGGTCTAAAAACTGACGCGTCGGTCGCTGAATTACTTCTAAACAGGTCACTTCAACGGTAATTCTGAACGCGCACAAGGACTGTCGCTGTATTTCTCTTCCCTTAAAAAAATCCTCTATACAACCTTTAAATTGGGAGGGTTTATATTTTCAAATGAAACTGTCATTTGCTGATGTGTCTTTTACCTTTAGTTCAGTAGAGATTGGCAGATTTTAAATGAACAAAATGATTCAAGTGAAGGTGTGTGGAGTTTAAAGCATGAATCTATAATAAAAACTGGATAAGACATTCCCCCCGACTAGTGGCCACTCCAGGTACTGCAGCTTCTGGGAGCGTGGGCCCAAAAAGAATTCTCCCATAGAAGTGCAATGGAATTTTTGGGAATTCAAACTACCCATGTTCGGACGACAGAGCATCCACAACTCTCATAAAGGTCGGATTTTGTAGGATTCTTTTCTATTTTCACAACATAAACCTTTTTACATTTTTAAATCGTCAAAGCCCCTAAATGTTTGCTTTGTAAGACTTAGCCTAGCCTCACTCTGAGCCCGATTGGTCCACACGCTCAAACGCTCCACGCCGTTCATGTTACAGACGTCACACGGGCGGGAGGAGCTCGAATGTACTGAGGAAATAAATGTGGAAAAGGAAAATTATTTTTGGGCCCGTGCACCAGTGTAGCCTGATTCATCAGACGGTTTGACTTTGTGGAAATTGTCTGACCTCGCAGCGTTCATTCACTTGACGGTAGACAGGAACTTTAAAAAAATTTAACCAATCTTTGCTATTTGGTCGTGACGTATGTAATGCGCCGTTAACGGGGCTAAATGTATATTAATCTTTTCCCAAATCCCGTAGGAAGAAGGACAATAACATCTTTCCCCTTGATAAAATTCACCAAATATTCTCTTTGTTCTAGTTTTAAATCCTTGATCTCGGGAATCGTTGCCAACACAGAATGTATGGCTCTTCGCTGATTGGCTGGTGCCCGAACTCGCACTTTCGGGGTTTTTGCGAACCGAAAATTAAATAGAGCGGAGGCACTAGGTGGCACCAGCCTGGCTACTACCAATGAACACAGACCACTGAAAACAACACAACGTCATCTTGGGTGCAGCTTCAGATTTTATTATACTTCCTTACGAGTCCTGACTCGAACTAGGAAGTACGAGCACATAAGTCCTGGTCTCAGGTCTCTGCACTGGCTCCTGTGGCTCAGAGACTTTAAAACAGCTCTGCTTGTACAAGTGTCTCCATGGCCGAGCACCAAAGTCCATCTGTGACATGTTAGTGTCATATGAACATCTCACACTCTGAGGAGCTCAGGGACCAACTCCTGCTGGTGCCCAGAGTCACGAACTAAACAAGGGGAGTCAGAGTTTCAGGTTCATGCAGCTAAAACCTGGAACAGTCTGAACATGTGAGACAGACTCTTCTGTGACGCTGTTTAAATCCAGACTCAAAACATTTCTGTTTAACTGTGCATAAAACTGAAAGGTTTTCATTCCGCACTCTTCTCTCCAATTTATGTCTCTCTTTTTTAATTTTAATCTTCATGATTATTTATGTTTTGATTTGTTTTTATTATGATTTTAATGTATTTCTTATTCTGTAAAGCACTTTGAATTACTTTGTGTACGAATTGTGCTATACAAATAAACTTGCCTTGAATTTTATAGTTCTATGTTTAAAACACAATGAAGCACTTACAGTATGACCACGTGACATCATAAAGTGGAACAGAGTGTTTTCAGTTTGAGAGAAGAACTAAAACAAAACATCTAAAACAAAATCATTTTCTGGTTCAGATTGACACAGGTTTGAACATGACAGAGGTGAGAGCAGATGATCTTCAGGGGCTGAGGGTTCAGACTCTTCACCTCACTGACGTGGCTTAACTAACCGATGTTCACACTTTTCACTCAGACGGAGATGAATCTGTTCCTGTTGCTCGGCTGTCTGCTCCTCATGGCCACGGAGTTCTCCCCAAGCTCCGCCCACATGGTCCCGGAAAACAGCCTCTCCACCAATCACGTGGTCGGATCCAACGCCCTGAGCCAGAGTCTGGACGCCCGCGCGCCGCCTGTGGTCATCGTAGGTCAGTCACACTCTCACACTGTTGGCTGTGGAGGATTATTATATTATGATTATTTTTTTTGTCATAAGTTAGAAGAAGAAACACACAGTTTGTTGACGTCAATGCTTGGCGTCTTTGTATGATTTTAAAACTTTGGATACAGTAATGAATTTCTGGCCAATTAAATAATAAAGAAACTATTTTTATTTTAAGATGATTGCCTCCCTTGGATTTGTTTATTTAGACGCCAGAGACAAGAGCATCACTTACTTTCTCTGGACCTTCATCTCTCAGCGGGGATTTAACCCCAACAATACTGGAATTTTGTTTTATTTCATTCACATGTTTAACGCAAACCTGAATTTTTAGGTGAAGTGTCAAACAGAAAACACTCTGTTCCACCTTGTGATGTCATGTGGTAATACAGGAAGTGCTCTACTGTGGTTTTAAACTCTTAACAAGATGTTAACTTAAAGTTTAGTTTATTTATTTAATGAGACAGGGACAGTGCACAATCTACATCTGGAGTGTCAAACTCAAATTCACAGAGGCCGAAAAGAAAAACTGGAACTAAATATTTATTGAAAAATTTCAACAACATCTGCATGTTTTCTCTTCTTTCGAGATATGTAATTTTAAAGCTTTTCTTATAAATGTTTAATAATAGTTTTGCTTAAACACTGAATCCAGAACAAGCAGAATATAAAATAATAACAACATTTTAAATAAATACCGTATTTTCCGGGCTATTAGACGCGCTCTTAAGCCTCTAACCGCATCAAAAAACAACTGCTCGCCCCTCAATCCAGAGCGCCCCATACACAAATCCACTCGAGTGTCCCAGCAGGACTTCAGTAAACTACAAAGCCGCACCACCCGCAGAACATACAAACACACACGGAGCAGACAGCGACCGCACAGCGAAAAACACCCACAGACACACTCATCACTCCACGCCGACGAGGAACAGAACAGAGGAACGAACCGAAAAAGCGAGTGCAATGTGCCACTTCTAGACACGACTGAACAACTGAGTCACTGCGAACACGCCGACAATCCAGCGATCCCAGACAGCACCTCCCTACACGCCACAACTGAACAAAGCCCAGAGTCACCGTGAACGAACAAACAAACAAAACCACTCACCCATCACACTGTTGTGGTTTCCTTTAAAGTCCGATGCGGTTTATTTGTGAAAAAAGTTCGAAATAGACCATTTAATGACAGTGTGTTTTATAATCCAGAGCGCCTAATAGTGCGGAAAATACAGTAAATACAGTAATGTCTCTGTAGACCAGGGGTGTCAAACTCATTTTGGTCCAGGGGCCGTATCCAACCTACTTTGATCCCAAAGGGGCCGGATCAGAAAACTCATGTCATATAAACCCCAAAAATAACAATAAGTTCAAATATTTGTGCAGAGAAACACAAATCTATTACAGAAATCTTTTTTTAATTGATGAACTCTTTCTTTTACAAAATATTATAATATTACGAACAACCTGAAACTTTAAGAAAAATGCAATTTCAACACAATGTTTTAATATGAACTTGTATGTAAATAGGAATAAGTCCATTTTTGTTGGAAAATCCTGCACTCGGCTCCACTTTTCTCATGTTGGACATTTTTCTGATGAGGGTGTCACGGTCAACAGTCAAAACGATCGTCCTTTAAGAGCGTTTGGAAAGAGACAAGTCTTCATTTGTGCTGCTCTGGTGGGAGGGGCCACGTACAGAGACGCTGGAGACGCTGCTGTGATAAACACCACAGAAAATTACCAATATTTTAATAGAAAATATAATTAAAATATTTTAGTAGAAAATCAGCTGAGGGCCAGATTAAAGGTCTTGGAGGGCCGGATCTGGCCCCCGGGCCGTATGTTTGACACCTGTACTGTAGACTAACTCTAATACATATTTGACATGTCTGATCTACATTAACCTTGACAGGAGAGATGCATGTACCAGGTTTTAACGCCAGGGCTAATTTCCCTGTCGTCCCTGGGCAGGTTGATGTTACAGCTCAAAGACAGATACAAAGAGAATGTCTTTATAATGTTTGGCATCTTAACAATTCTGTATCATTATTCACTCCCAGTTCTTTCAGCATCTTTAAACCATCATCCTTTATCAATATCATCATTCGGTTCATTCACTCCAGAACATCACACTCTCTCCAGACACTCATCAGTCCACACTAGGCCCAGGTTTTGTTTGAAATGGAGCCACTGTTTCTCCAGGTGTGAGAAAGTGCTGTAGTTTGTCCATGTGATGAGCTCTGTTGGCTTCGCATAAAAAGGCTGAGTTTCCAAATGCCGTCCTGCGTTTGTGGATAATCCGTGTATCATTCATTCATTTGTTTTTCAATATTAAATCCAAAAATAAGAAAACGAAATAACAACAGTTTTCTTCATTATTTGTCTCCAAAACCAAAATGAAAAAAACAGATAACGATTCCTTTTTTCAGTTTTTGATTTTGTGTTTAAATGAAGAATGGAAAAAACTGAGGTGGTGCAAAGCATCCGACTGACGCTTTCACACCAACGAAAACGAACCGAACTAAAAGCTTTTGGTTCAAATGGACCAGGTCCGAGACCAGACCGGGACCAGAGAGCTAATGAGACTGGGACCAGACCAGGACCAGACCGGGACCAGACTGGAGGCTCAGAGCCCACGGCAGGGCCGGAGCTCGAAGCTGAGGCTCGGAGTCAAAGCTCGGAGTCCGCTCTGGTCCCGGTCTGGTCCTGGTCTGGTCCTGGTCTGGTCTCGGACCTGGATCAGTCCTGGTTCAGTCCGTACGCAGGTGCAAAAGTTCGGCATCGCAGTCACGGACGTCACGTAAATGAGAAACGGTCGTTATCCGTTTTTTCCATTCTTCATTTAAACACAAAATCAAAAACTGAAAAAAACAAATCATTATCCGTTTTTTCATTTTGGTTTTGGAGACAAATAATGAAGAAAACAGTTGTTTTTTCATTTTCTTATTTTTGGTTTTATATTGAAAAACGATTGAACACAGATTGTGGATCCTGCACTCGCCGCTCACAGTGGATCGAGCGGCTCAGGAGGAGGTTTCAGAGCTAAAACATGACATCACAAGGTGGAACAGAACATTTTGAGCTTCGGAGATGCAGACAGACTCATAATAAAAATTACATAAATGTGTGAATGAAACAAAATGCAACTCCTGGTTTGTTTTTGAGGAGGTAACAACATTATTACATGACTTTAAGCTCACAGAAGTCAATTTTGTGTAATGTGGGATCTTTGAATATTTACCAAAGTGGGTCAAATTTACTCAGATACAGTTGTGGTTTTTAGGCAGTAGTTTTATTGCATTTTTTTGTATCGGCTTAAATAATTAGTTTTTGATCTTTCGTTACAGAATTACCAAAAGTAAAGAAAAATAAAGGAGCAAAGAAACAGAAAAAGGTAAGAACAACAAATAATACCATTTAAGATTTGAGTACAAGCTACAATCTAAATAAAAGTTACTGGTAAATCTAAGTAAATCTTGGTCGGAAGTTTCCCGCTGTAGATTTGCAGAACTTTCGGTTAATGAATTTTCTGTGGCAAAGTGTCTGTGGAAATGTTTTGCGTATTCGAAATCTGCCTCATCACCAAATCTTCAACCAGTAAGTCGACAAAGATTCAAAGATAAAAGAAAAATTTATCCACAACTATCAAGGTACAGAGTTCCAATAGTCATAGAAATCATGGAAAAGCCAATGAAGTTTGTAAATTCAATGAAAGTTTTGGAAAAGTCGTGGAATTTTAGCATCTCTTTCATGCAGCTACATCGTTCTGTTAAGTTCTCGTTAGACTATTATGATTATTTCCGAACTTTTGCGCCTTTTGTTTAAAAGAGACGACAATAAATGCACTGACAATATTTTGAATGTTAAAAAACTATAAACCAAACCATAAGGTGAGTGGAAAGGATTAACATTTCATATTTAGCCCTAAAAGTTTGATCAATTCTACACATTCAGGTGCCGTAAAATCTTGGAAAATTTACTTTAGGTCATGAAAAAGTCATGGAAATTTTGAAATTTTGTCAGTGAAAACGAGTGGGAACCCTGAAGACGAAAGACAAAACTTAATGTTATTGTTTCCTGTAGATGTCTTGTATTCGAACTGCACAAATCTCTCTGTCTCTGCTGATATCGACATCATGAAATCGATTTTTTATTTTAATTCTAGCATCAGTCTGAGTGAACGAGTTACTTATGTTTTATTCATGACCATAATGTGAGTTTTTCTCAGTAGTTCACTAATGCCGGGCGAACACTGTGCGATATTTTCGGTCGTGTCACTCTGCTCCAGCTTAAACTGTACGACCAAATCACAGGGTTTAAAAGTTCACGGCTCACGAATCATGTTCTCACACTGAACGAACCGATGCTCGGATGTGACCTGCCTGCGCACACTGAACGTTCACATAACGACCGGAGTTGTTGTTCCGGAAGAAGAAAACCACAGAATTAGAAAACCACAGACGTGCGGAGACACAACGCTGATCCAGGAAAAAAACAGACGCGCTGCCTTGGCAATTTGTGCCATTCTCTGCACAGTGTGGGAAATATTATGTGTTGGTCATGCTAATTCACCCAATATTATGGACTTTGGAATGACAACAGGGTGGAAAACACGTATGACTATCTATAGGTCTATATAACATGTTTTTTCTGTACTTGGAGTGCCATATAGAACATGTTTTTCTGGACTTTGAGTGCCATAAAGAACATGTTTTTCTGGACTTTGAGTGCCACGAAGCAGAAAAACTGACATATGTGGACCCCGTGGCATGTTCCCACCCATGATAAGGTGCACTGGGTCAGCAGTATTGTTCATTTTCTTGCTGTATATGCTAAATCAACAAGTTAATGTTTTGTCAAGATGTAGTATAAAGCTACCCCTGATTTTGAGTTGGTCAGAGGCGTCGTTCCGGGGTGACAGTTGTACTTGGTAATCAACTTGAATCCCTCTCAATGGAAAATGCTGAAATAAAGTGGCCTGTTCTCTCGGATTCTCCATCTCCTGTGCTTCTTTTTAGGACACGCATTGAACCTTCCGAAAAAACCCACAGCAGACAAGCTCAAAAAGAAGAGGCGACGAATATGGTCAAAGAAATGTCTGGGCAGAGGTGGGCAGACGTGGGCAGTACAGGTTGTCAGTTCTTCAGAAGGAACTGGTGGTAAAGTAGCATCAAGTTTTTCACCAAACTTGTGTTCTGTGTTGCTCGATTACCTGCGCCTCCACGTCCTGTGTCCAAAACACTCGAAGTCGACATCGTCCTCCACAATCTCATATCCTGCCTCTTCTTCTGTGTTCGCACATGTTCAGTCTGACAGATTCTGGCAAATCGGCTCGTGGAACGACTTCAACAGAGCGAAACCCTCACGAGAGGCGACGGGATTTGAAACAAGTTTGATTTTCTTGCGACCTACGAATGCCGATCGGGAGCTGGTCGTGAGGTATTAATCTGTTCTCTTTTATCCATGTTTATTACACAAAGCACGACACGCGATGAAGCCAAAACTCGGCCCGATCCCCAAAGTAATCGCACAAGTGAAAAATCATCCCAAAAAGGATCAAAAATCGTGAAAATGCTTGTTGTTGTTCACCTTTAAGCTTTCATTTTTCTCACATTTATAGTTGTGGACAGAACGATTATCCTTTGTCGACCTTGTTGGATGAAGATTTGGCGATGGGGCAAATTTATGAAGCTGGTGGAAAATACGTACAGCCTGATTCATCAGACGGTTTCACTTCATCGAGACGTTTGTAATGCACCAAATCCCGTAGGAAGAAGGGCGGTAAAGTCTTTCCCCTTGATAAAATTCACCAAACATTCTCTTTGTTCCGGCTTTAAATCCTCGATCTCGGGAATCGTCGGCAACACAGAATGTCTGTCTTCGTCTACATCAGGGGTGTCCAAACTTTTTAAATCAGTCCAAACACAGACGAAGCAGAGGCTGATCGAGGGCCGTAGACTGATGCTCAGTACAGTGAATAATTGATATTTGTGCATGTTTAACACATTAGCTCTCCCATCAGGCAGAAGATTGCGCCACCTACAGGCCAGGACCACGAGACTACGGAACAGTTTTTATCCTGATGCCGTTAGACAGATTAATTCTGTCAGAAAAAAACACTACAAAACAGCACTGACTTGGAACGCACTTTAGAAAATGGGGGCGGGTTGATATACAATATTTTTAACTATTTTATTCTTGTTATAACTATTTATTCTTATTGTTATCTGTGCTGCTGTTGACCTGGACCTGAGTGCATTGTTTCGTTTCTGTGTATTTTTTATACTGGAATGACAAATAAATCTGATTCTGATTCTGAGAATGAGCCATCATCCATCTTTATTCATGCTAAGATCCTCAAAACCACACACTAAATGTTAAATATTGGCTTTATCAAGGTAGATTTTCAAAAAAAACTTGCAATATAAAGTTAATTTTTCATTGATGTAAAGTAATTTGGGCCAATTCTCCTGGAAGCCTGAGGGCCAAGAAAAATGTGTCTTCCCATGGACCATAGTTTGGACATTCCTGGTCTACATCCATCTCGACCGCTTTGTTTACTGTTGTGCTGTTCCACAAAATGGACCCAGACAGACGCTTGAGTTTGACGTCATGGCTTCACAGCTCTTCTCTGATTGGTCGGTGCACAGTCTACAACTTCTGGGGTTCTTGAAAACCGTCTAGTGCACAGGTGTCAAACATACGGCCCGGGGGCCAGATCCGGCCCTCCAAGACCTTTAATCTGGCCCTCGGCTGATTTTCTACTAAAATATTGTTAATTTTCTGCGGTGTTTATTATATCAGCGTCTCCAGTGTCTCTGTACGTGGCCCCTCCCACCAGTGCAGCACAAATGAAGACTTGTCTCTTTCCAAACGCTCTTAAAGGACGATCGTTTTGACTGTTGACCGTGACCCTCATCAGAAAAATGTCCAACATGAGAAAAGTGGAGCCGAGTGCAGGATTTTCCAAGAAAAACTGACTTATTCCTATTTACATACAAGTTCAAGTTAAAACATTGTGTTGAAATTGGATTTTTCTTAAAGTTTCAGGTTGTTCATAATATTATAATATTTTGTGAAAGAAAGACTTCATCAATAAAAAAATGTTTCTGTAATAGATTTGCGTTTCTCTGCACAAATATTTGAACTTAATGTTATTTTTGGGGTTTATATGACATGAGTTTTCTGATCCGGCCCCTTTGAGATCAAAGTAGATTGGATATGGCCCCCAGACCAAAATGAGTTTCACACCCCTGGTCTAGTGTATTCCTGATTCCTGACCTAGTCGCTGGAGAGAAATGAAATTGAGCGGAGACACAAGGTGGCACCAGCCTGACTAGGATACGTGAGATATTTTGCCACTGAAAACCATTAACCTTAAGTTCTACAAAGCTACAGCGCAGAGACCAGACAGACCGTTGTAAAAAAGGTCTGTTGATATAATCTCGACTCTCTTCTTCTTTTCTCGTGCAGAATAAGAAACCGGCGCGTAAACAGCTTCCGCCGCCGCCGAACTGCATCCCTGTGGGCAGCAGCTGTAAGTCGGCGAACTCCGTGTGCTGTGATTTCTGCGCCTTCTGTCAGTGCCGACTCTTCAAGACCGTGTGCTACTGTCGCATGGGAAACCCACGCTGCTGAGACCAAGACCGGACCTGAGACTAAGACCGGACCAGAGACTAAGACCGGACCTGAGACCGGATCAAAGACCGGACCAGAGACTAAGACCAGAGACCAGACCAGAGACTAGAGACCAAGACCGGACCAGAGACAAAGACCGGACCTGAGACCGGATCAAAGACCGGACCAGAGACTAAGACCGGACCTGAGACCAAAGACCGGACCTGAGACTGGATCAAAGACCGGACCAGAGACTAAGACCGGACCTGAGACCAAAGACCGGACCTGAGACTGAGACCAGAGACCAGACCAGAGACTAGAGACCAAGACCGGACCTGAGACTGGATCAAAAACCAGACCAGAGACTAAGACCGGACCTGAGACCAAAGACCGGACCTGAGACTGAGACCAGAGACCAGACCAGAGACCAAAGACGGACCTGAGACCAAAGACCGGACCTGAGACTAAGACCGGACCTGAGACCGAAGACCGGACCTGAGACCGGATCAAAGACCGGACCAGAGACTAAGACCGGACCTGAGACCAAAGACCGGACCTGAGACTGAGACCAGAGACCAGACCTGAGACCAAAGACCGGACCTGAGACTGGATCAAAGACCAGACCAGAGACTAAGACCGGACCTGAGACTGGATCAAAGACCGGACCAGAGACTAAGACCGGACCTGAGACTGGATCAAAGACCAGACCAGAGACTAAGACCGGACCTGAGACTGGATCAAAGACCGGACCAGAGACTAAGACCGGACCTGAGACCAAAGACCGGACCTGAGACTGGATCAAAGACCAGACCAGAGACCAAGACCGGACCTGAGACCAAAGACCGGACCTGAGACTGGATCAAAAACCGGACCAGAGACTAAGACCGGACCTGAGACCGGATCAAAGACCGGACCAGAGACCAAGACCGGACCTGAGACCAAAGACCGGACCTGAGACTGGATCAAAAACCAGACCAGAGACTAAGACCGGACCTGAGACTGGATCAAAGACCGGACCAGAGACTAAGACCGGACCTGAGACCAAAGACCGGACCTGAGACTGAGACCAGAGACCAGACCAGAGACCAAAGACCGGACCTGAGACTGAGACCAGAGACCAGACCAGAGACCAAAGACCGGACCTGAGACCAAAGACCGGACCTGAGACTGGATCAAAAACCAGACCAGAGACTAAGACCAGACCTGAGACCAAAGACCGGACCTGAGACTGAGACCAGAGACCAGACCAGGGACCAAGACCAGACCTGAGACTGAGACCAGAGACCAGACCTGAGACTGAGACCAGAGACCAGACCAGAGACCAAGACCAGACCTGAGACTGAGACCAGAGACCAGACCAGAGACCAAGACCAGACCTGAGACTGAGACCAGAGACCAGACCAGAGACCAAAGACCGGACCTGAGACCAAAGACCGGACCTGAGACCAAAGACCGGACCTGAGACCAAAGACCGGACCTGAGACTGGATCAAAAACCAGACCAGAGACTAAGACCGGACTTGAGACCAAAGACCGGACCTGAGACCGAGACCAGAGACCAGACCAGAGACTAGAGACCAAGACCGGACCTGAGACTGAGACGAGAGACCAGACCAGAGACCAAGACCGGACCTGAGACCTAGACCAAGACTGGATCTGAGACCGGTCCAAAGACCAGACCTGAGACCAAGACCAGAGATCAGACCTGAGACTGGGCTAAAGACTGCACCTGAGATTGAACCAAAGACCGGACCTGAGACCAAGACCAGAGACCAAGAATGGATCTGAGACCAAAGTCCGGACCTGTGATTGGACCAAAAACTGGACCAAAGACCTGTGATTGGACCAAAGACCGGACCTGTGATTGGACCAAAGCCCGGACCTGAGACCAAGACCAGAGGCCAAGAGCGGACCTGAGACTGGACCAAAGACCGGACCTGTGATTGGACCAAAGACCGGACCTGAGATTGAACCAAAGACCGGTTCCGAGACCAAGACTGGACCTGAGATTGGACCAAAGACCGGACCTTAGATGAACACCAGAGACCAGACCAGAGAGACCGGACTAGACACAAGACCAGACTAGAGCCTGGACCAAAGACCAGACCAGAGACCGGACCTGAGACCAGACCAGAGATTGGACCAGAGAACAGACCAGACTAGAGACCAAAACTGAGATTGGACCACAGACCTGAGACTGGACCAGAGACCTGAAACCAGACCCAAGACTAGACCAAAGACCAGACCAAAGACCAGACCAAAGACTGGACCAAAGACCAGACCAAAGACCAGACCAAAGACCAGACCAAAGACCAGACCAAAGACCGGACCAAAGACCAGACCAAAGACTAGACCAAAGACCAGACCAAAGACTGGACCAAAGACCGGACCAAAGACTAGACCAAAGACTAGACCAAAGACCAGACCAAAGACTAGACCAAAGACCAGACCAAAGACTAGACCAAAGACCAGACCAAAGACTAGACCAAAGGCCAGACCAAAGACTAGACCAAAGACCAGACCAAAGACTGGACCAAAGACCAGACCAAAGACCAGACCAAAGACTGGACCAAAGACCAGACCTGAGACCAGACCAGAGATTGGACCAGAGAACAGACTAGAGACCAAAACTGAGATTGGACCACAGACCTGAGACTGGACCAGAGACCTGAAACCAGACCCAAGACTAGACCAAAGACCAGACCAAAGACCAGACCAAAGACCAGACCAAAGACTGGATCAAAGACCAGACCAAAGACCAGACCAAAGACTAGACCAAAGACCAGACCAAAGACTAGACCAAAGACCAGACCAAAGACTGGACCAAAGACCAGACCAAAGACCAGACCAAAGACCAGACCAAAGACCGGACCAAAGACCAGATCTAACACTGTGGAACCAGCTACTATGGACCAAACCAAAGACTATGGACCAAAAATTCTAAATATGTCACGTTAAATATAAAATCTAATATGTGATTTTGATTTAAAGGAAATAAGTTGGGAGATTCGCCGCTGTATCGAAACTGCTTCCCTAATCCGATTTTTTTTTTAAATTAAGAATTTCCAATGAGATCAGAAAAACCTACGGAGACGATGAAGGTCAAACCGCACTGATGTTCTGGAGGATGAAGGAGACACAATAATGTGATTTTAACTTATCCTGTTTTAGATTCGTCTTCATGATCCTGGTTTAAATACGTTTAGATTTTCATCGCCGCCGCTGTGAAACTATCAAAGATGAACTCGGTAAACTTTTCTAGAAACTGGATTTGTCGAGTTTTTGAGCATCACAAACCCCGATCTTCCAAGTCTGAGGTTTTGTGAAGAAAACAACGAACACAGAACACGAACCCACGAACTTTTGAGTATCGGAAAGTGGAAAGAAAAGTGACAGAGTTCATCTTTAACACCGGTAACCAACGTAATCCTGTGTATTATTTGACTTTGATCGGACCGTGATTGCGTACGTGTGTGTTTGTGTGTGTGAAGCATGAAGCACTTTATGAGGACTGCGGCGTCGGGACCTCGGGTGGGGGTCTCCTGTAGCACTGCACAGTTGTACTTCCAGCTTGTAGCAACGTAATTTACCGCAATGTGTAATTCTTGTTTTACCGTTGATTCATGTATGAAATGTTTTGAAATAAATAAATATGTTTATACGACTTTTTTCAGGTGCTCTTTAATAATTAATCACATTTATAACATTTATGAAATATAATAAAAACTAAAATAAAGAGCAGAGTTGTGAACCTTGGAGAAAATTCTTAAAAAAAAAAAAAAGGAGCTTGTAAAGTTCCTATATTACCCCAAAATTCACTCCTGTGAGCTTTAAGACATGTTATAATCAGTGTTTAACAGATTACATGTACCGGAGTAATCAGAGTACAAATTATGAGTAACTGTATTCAGTTACAGTTACTGTTTCAGTGAGTGGTAATTGGATTACAGTTACTTTGTTGAAATAAATGGATTACATGGCGCTATTTTCCTGTTTTCACATTTTGGGATAAACCAGGAGTAAAACAGGATTTAACAGGACCAAAACCAGGTCTAAACTAGATCTAAACCAGGTCTAAACCAGGACTAAAACCAGGTTTAAAGCAGGACTAAACCAGGACTAAAACCAGGTCTAAACCAGGACTAAACCAGGACTAAAACCAGGTTTAAAGCAGGACTAAAACCAGGACTAAACCAGGACTAAACCAGGACTAAAACCAGGTCTAAACTAGATCTAAACCAGGACTAAACCAGGACTAAAACCAGGACTAAACCAGGACTAAAACCAGGTCTAAACTAGATCTAAACCAGAACTAAAACCAGGTCTAAACCAGGACTAAACCAGGACTAAAACCAGGTCTAAACCAGGACTAAAACAGGACTAAAACCAGGTCTAAACTAGATCTAAATCAGGTCTAAACCAGGACTAAACCAGATCTAAATCAGGACTAAACCAGGACTAAAACCAGGTCTAAACCAGGACTAAACCAGGACTAAAACCAGATCTAAACTAGGACTAAAACCAGGTCTAAACCAGGACTAAAACAGGATTTAACAGAACTAAACGATGCTGCGTGGACGTGTCTCCTCTTCTTCTATCAATAATATTTTTAATTTGGTTCAGTAAAATCTGGGCTTTTTATTTTCTTTTAGCAGATAAAACATCTTACGTTGAGATTTCCTAGTCTTTGCTTCTCTACAGCAAATCAAGTAATCCAAAGTATTCAGATTACATTACTCACTTTAAATAATCTAATAGATTACATTACAAACTACATTTTGGGATATGTAATCTGTAATCTGTAGGTTAATACATTTTAAAAGTCACCTTCACAACACTGTTTATAATGTTGTTTCCTCCTCAAAAACAGACCTGGAGTTGAGTTTTGTTTGAGTAACACTTTATTATTAGTCCGTCTACATCTCCAGACTCAAAATGCTCTGTTCCACCTTGTGATGTCATGAATAGGGCTGGGGAGGGCGTTCTTTTTATGTTAGTTGAAGGACAAACGATCTTCATGTA